CTGTTCTCATCCGACGACACGTCATCATATCTATTTTACTATTAATTACTATAAGACCCATAAGACTGCTAACGTACGAATCGTATTGGTCCGAGTCATGAAACCCGTTCTTGATACAATTCTGTCAATTCATGAATCATTGTTGACGGCCAGAGGGCTTGGAAGACCAACCACTGGAAGTTGATCTGGAGGATCAGATGGGGGGACATACAGGCTCGGAACCACACGGTCTAATTGCCCCCCAATTGTAGACGAACTGAGTCCGGGCACCAACCAGAGCCATGCAAACAGGGCACGTGCCACTCTATCCACATCAGAAGCACCAACCTAGATGTGCCACGCTTTTGGACCTTTGGAGGGCATCCATTTCTGGCCAGACGTACAGGGGTACTGGGGCCACACAGGTTCCAAGGCAATGACTATCTTGAAGTTGAAATGACGCATGAGCTTGCGTTCAAGTGCAGCTCTGCCAATCCCCGTAGGGTAGTTGAGTATGCAGCCGATGTGGACAGGGTCACTAACTTGCAACGAGGAATGGAAGACGCCTGCATGTGTACCGGTGGTCTCAAAACACTGACCTAACAGTCGAGACATGTCATCCAATGAAGAGTTGTGAGTCATGCAGATACGGGTGCAAAGAGTCCTCTTGGGGCCAGGATTCTTGGCATTGTACCCAAATCTAGCTCCATTGTTCCATATTCCAAAAAAACGAAAAAGTAAAAACAACATGCACATCCGGGTTCCAAGACACCACCTCCAGTACTTCTCCTACATGGAGCAGCCGTAGCAACGCTGGAAAAGAGGTTGTTTTCAACTGGAAAACCAAGGATCAAGATGAGCAAAAGAAAGACAGGCAAGGTACCCAGAGCACAAACAGTATCAGAAAATGATTCATATTATGCTCCTGTAAGCCTTGTCCAAAAAGAACGGGGAAAAGTGGCCAAAATCTGCCCATTTGATGCCTCTGCCTTTTTGGGCCTGTTGGACGACGATGACAGCGACGAAATCGCTGATGACGAGGAGGATAACATCAAGATTCACGGTCAGAAAGCAAACTGGGATATCTATTATTTCAGAAGTCATTTTGTCCAAAAAGAACAAGCAAAAATGGTCCAATCTTGCCCATTCTTCGCACCCTTTTTGGGCATTCCTGATGATTCTGGCGGTGCCATCAAATCAGTTTCCGATGATGAGGAAGACAAGGCCATCCGAAAGGTCTCCAGCGCCCAAGCACCATTTCCAATGGACCTCCAAGATGCTGTTGAGGATAAACCTTTCCAGTATTATGCTGACAAATTTGAAAGGTCTCCCAAACACACCTATTGCAACAATCCAACCCTTGGCGACCTACTATTGCAAGGAAAGTGCTACCTCTTCCATCAGCCTTCTGTCGGTTGGCAGATGCCTTAATTTGATTTCCCTTTATGGATGTTCAAATGTTGGCATCATTCCCACGGACAAATAGGCACAACACCACTGATCTGCAGCCTCACCATGCCAAGATACAAACTTCTGGCTCTGACCCTCTTTGCTTTTCCTTAGACCACAACCAGCCGCCTTTTTAATGCTTGTACCAACCTCAATGTTCTGGAACACTGTGCCCATGGGACGCTCTTCATTCGTTTGGATCGATATATTCAGGGTAAAAGGGGGCAAGAACACAAGGTTAAATCAAGCTTCAATACAGGCTAGCACAACTAAAGAAAAAACACAGAAAACAAAATGAAAATACGCCGCCTCAAGTGGCAAGATCATCTCTCTACATGTGCAAGGGTGCAATGTAATATGCGATAGAGCAACGTCCTTGGGATTGGATGCCTCAAACTGGTTCAACAGTACTGGACTCACCTCCGTATGGTAAATGGCCATGACAGCCGTTAACGGCAATCTAGAAACTTGAGATAGTTTTAACACGATTAATGCATCAGATTTATTATTATTAGCTCCATTGTTCCAAGACCAGTCAACATAGGGCTTGAGATTCTTATACGTGAGCTCCTCAACTTTATCCTTAGAAGTCAGCCACAGCTTCTTGTCTCGCGCACGAAGTTCGCTCACCGGTAGAATAACTAGGTCGTCTTCGGCATTGTCCATGGCCATCATGGACAGAACAGTGACCATTTCTTCAGTGAAACATTTTTCAATAGACCCATCATCAGATGTGTCCCCATCCCATTCATAGTTGATTGTAGCGCAGAGGAATTGGGCATTCGTGTGAGGGAGCCCGGTCAGATCCATCTGTGTCAATTTGCAAGCCTTCATTTCCTCAGAGAGGTGCTTGGTCCGAATAGCAGCCTTCTTCTGGGAGGCGGCAACATAGGTGAGCTGCTTCTTCGCCGAAGGGGGAGCTGGGAGTCCAGGGGGTTTGGGAGGAGTAGGCTCCGACAAGTGGGAGTCAAAAGCTACATACCAAAGAGGTTGCTTCTTCCCACGGGAATGTCAGAAATTGCGGTTGAACTGGATGATCTGGATGGCACCCCAGTGCATCTACAGTGGTTGGAACCGGACGAATCGGCGAAGACTTTGGGTATCCTGATGTCCCCCTGCTCAAACAGGAAAGCACAACTTGTGGTGATGCAGGGATAAGCAAACGCATGGGCGGATCAGTCAGATCCAACCTAGCTTCCTCCACCAATACGATGTCCTCCCTCTCCTTCGCACCACAATCCAGAAGACTTTGGAGTACCCCATGGCGCTCACCTTCTTCTCTCAGCAGGAGTGGGACCGGCTCCTATCCCCAGTGCTCAGGACGGCACTTCCAAAGGCTGGTATCTGCCCTCGTGCTATGGTCTATGCCCCTATTGCACTCCAAGGAGTGGGTGTCCCTCATCCGTACGGTCTCCAAGTCATCAAGCACTTGGACATGCTACTTCGCCATCCTGCCAATAAGACCAAGACACCAGACGCCTTCTTGGAGGCAGTCCTTCAGGCACATCAGCTTGAAACTGGTACCTCATACAGCCTCTTCCAACAAGTCTATGCCAACACCTCCATCCTGGCGTCCGGCACGTGGGCAAAGCGGACCTGGAGTGAACTCGACTCTCTCTCCATCCACCTGGAGTTTGATTCCCCTTCTCTTCGGCCAATACGCCAAGGAGACCAACTGCTAGTCGACCTGTTCATCGATTCTTTGGTGGACCAACTTACTTTGAAATGGCTCAACTGGTGTCAGATCTTCCTGCACGCAGTCACTCTTTCTGATATTGTGAATGCTGAAGGGACAGCGATTACTCTGAAAGCGCGGAAAGGGCTAAGAGCGGACAGCTTTTCTGATCAGTACCAATGGCCCCGCACTGCTCGTCCGTCTAACCCATGGTGGACTGCATGGCAACAATGGATCTCTACTCATCTGACCGGCCACTCCAACCGACGCCGTCTCAGTTCTCCGTTAGGCCCGTGGCATTCCGTTGACTTGTCCTGGAAGTGGCAATACTCCCCCTCTACCAATACCCTGTTCCACCGTGAGGGTCAACTATGGATCCCTTCCATTCCTCTTGCCTCCACCAGCCGTCAGCGCACCTTCTACTTGCCTCGTTGCTTCAACCCTGATCTCCCACCTCTACCAGTGGACGCTGTCTGCGTCTTGGTCTCTGTCTTCCCTAGCCGTTCCCCAATCCACAAGAGCCGGGTCCTCCTCCACCACTCTACGGGCCCTCACCTACCAGCCGAACCACCTGCCCCCCCATCTTCCATCCTTGACCTCTGGCATCACTTTGGCAGTCTGGCTGAATCAGGTTCTCACGGCTGGGTTCCAGAGGTCCAAAGCACAATCCTACCGCCGCCTGCTGGAGTCTTCAGGCCGCTCGGCTGCCTCCAACCCCCGCTTCTTCCATGAACCTGTGTCTTTACTCATCGACGGTGTTAAGTCTTCCAAACTGGATCAGGCTCACATCATGGAGCTGGTCTCTCTTCCTGCCCTTTGAGCATATTGGTCCTCCAAGGACCGCCTCTCCAAGCAGTCCATCCGTGAGGTCGATTGGTTATCTCTTGCACGCGCCATGAAGGCCCTCCCAGCAAATCTCCAACGCTGGACACCCAAACATATCTCCGGTATGACAGGTGTGGGAAAATTCTTGGCCATTTGGAACCGTTCGGCGAAGAGCTCCTGCCCCAGATGCTCCTCCTGCCCCGTGGAAGATCACCTCCATGTCCCACGCTGTTCTGCTCCTACTGCAGCTGCAGAATGGTCAAAACGCCATCTGGCCTTCCGGACCTGGATGCAGACTCAGCAGACTGCCCCAGAGATCGAGGCCTTCCTCTTCGAATACCTGAAGACAGTCCGTCAGCCTTCCTTGGGCGTCCTCACCTTCCGAGCCTGGTCCCGCCATCCCCACCTCTTCCGAAGTGCCATCTCTTCACAAGCCACGCTTGGGGCCCAGGGCCTCCTTGAAGGCCTAGTGTCCCCCAACTGGCGACACCTGCAGGCCCTTCACTTCTCCTACATTGGCTCCAAGAAGTCCGCCAACCTTTGGGCCTCCCGCCTGATCCATGTGGAAAGACCGCAACCGGCTTGCCCACTCTGAAGACAGCTCCTGGTACACGGCTCGCAAGCGGGAGATTGACATCAGCGTCCGCGAACAGTTCGCCATGGGCCTGATGGATATCCCCCCACGCTCCCAGTACCTCTTTCGGGACTCCCGCGAAACTGTCCTCAACAAATCACTTGAAGATCGTCAACATTGGCTGCGCCTTGTCTCCCGTGAGAGAGCAATCAACCGTCGCTCTCTAGCCAGGCAACGCCAGATGATCTTTGACCTGGCGCGACCCGCCAACCCAACATCGACTCGGCCAACCGGCGCTAGTCCATAAACAGTCAGATGTCTCGGCCATCTCTCTGTCCCTCTATGTTTCACTCTCCCTCTGACGATCACAGGACTAGGGACCTGCAGTCTGTCACGTAGATGGTGGCCACATTGTTCTGGAACACTGTGCCATTGGGACGCTCTCCATTCACTTGGATCGATACGCCCAGGGCATTAGGGCGCAAGAACAATTGGCTTCCCACCTGCTACACAATCATGCCCACCATCACCTTCAAAAAACTAAAAAAACAAAATAAAAATACGCCGCCCCGAGTGGCAAGATCGTTTCTACATGTGCAAGGGTGCAATGTAATATCCGATGCAAGCAACTTCCCTGGGATTGGATGCCTCACACTGGTTCAACAGTACTGGACTCACCTCCGTATGGTAAATGACCATGACAGCTGTTAATGGCAATCAAGAAACTTGAGATAGTTTTAATACGATTAATGCATCAGTTATATATATACATACCAAAGAGGTTGTGAAATAGGTTGGTATAGGAGCTGCAACTGAGTTGCAGCTCATTCCTTTTGAAAGACTGCTCTGTATTTGACAGAGTGAAATCAAAGTCTAGGAATAGATAGTTATTAAGATCACCCTAGTCCCCCCTCACCCTTGGAGGAAACCAGCGCTTGCGCTGGGGGATTGAGGATTGAGGGCCCACAGCCAGCTAGTAGTAACCCAAAAACATCATTGAAACTCTTTTAGGCCCAATTGGAGTCTGCGAAATCCAAAGCGATTGAGAAGGATGAGCAATCGCGTGTAGACAAAATACAAACATGCAACACAATAATAGAAAAGGAAATATAAGACATGGAGATGGATGATGATGATTCAGTCCCTCCATGTGCTCTTTTGGTCTTCACCAGAAACGCGGTATCAGGCTATTATCCATATGGCAGTAATCTGCTGATGCGTGTTGATCAAATATAATACAGTACCAGTTGTCAAAATCCCGCGGGATTCTATCAAATTGCACAATGATGTTGCTGGTCCTCTTGAACGATGCAGTATTCTTTCGTTGATGTAGGGAATACAGTAGAACGGCTGCGACAATGTCAGAACAAGAGGATCGACGTGAAAGGATTCCAATTTTGGGACACAATTGTAGTTTTCCGCGAAAGGTGCATGCGCTGCTGCAATATGCACAGGGGAAAGACCTGCAAAATGTGGCTTGTTGGACTGCTGACGGCAAAGGATTTGTTATCCTCAATCCCATTCAGTTTATGGAAAAAATTGCCACACATTTCTTTCCAAACCATTCATCATTCCGTTCTTTTGAACGCATGCTCAACATATGGGGATTCAAAAGAGAGAGAGCTCCTCCTCCACAAAAGTTTTTCTGGAATTCCAATTTTCAGCGCGAAAGACCTGAACTTTGTCGGCACATGGAACGAACTGAAAACAAAGGAACTAAAAAGCGAGTATCAGTGTCGGGAATAAAACGTTGTGTCCATGTGAAAAAAAATTTACCAAGCTGGGCTCAAGAACATCAACACGCAGCCCTCATGTTTCTCTCCGCTCAGAGTACGGAAATCAAAAAATCTCCCAAAGTGGCTACCAGACACAGGAGCGACGAACAAAACGGAGAAACACTGCAGTTGGAATCCAAAGAGTATTTGCAAGGGTGGGCCCGGGCTCAAGATGCACATACTGAACAAAAACCTTCTCTTCAGAATCAAATGCCATCAAGCGTGGTCGCCAGCCCTACGTTACATCAATGCGGAAGTGGAGTAGAGAGCGATGTGAAGAAACAAAGCTCGGGATCGAACAAGATGGCTTTTAAGGAATTTGAAGGCACAAGAAACCCCTCTTTCTTTGATGAAAAGGATGTCTACGACACTGGTTTTGGAACACTCTTCCAGAGTGGAGACTCCCCGTTCCAGAAGAAGGCTTCCTTGGGAGGGCAATTTGATGATGCACCTGATTCGCTATTAGTACTCGCCAATGCTGCAGTTTCGGACCACAGCAGCAAACATCCTTGCAACAACCTAAAAGAAAAAGACGTGTTCGAGGGGAAATTGAAGAACACATAACACACCCGGGAGAAGATGCAGTGGCCCAGGCAATTTCCTGGGTATGTCACCCGAAGAATCTTGACATTCCCCTAAAACTCTAAGACTGGAGATGCTCGCACATAACTAAGCTGACGCACGGTGGCAGAGGGATTCGCCCAACGATGCCCACGTGAGAAAAGCTACTGGTACAGTGACTGATCAAAGAAAGCCACTAAGCCTGTTGCTATGATACACCATTGCCTTTTCTCCGGTTTTAAAAAGATAGAATTTTTTCCAAGTCAAGGTTCAAATTTTAACTTCCATTCTGCATCATCGCAGTATGGACTTGCTGCTATTGTACAATCCTTGCAGGAGTTTGCAGAGGACAGGAGGAAGGCATTAACATCCATGCCAATTTATACATGCATTGCTTTCCACGTGAAGGCAAACAGTGATAATAGTTCTTTCTCATCCTTCTTGCTTACCGTTGAACGGTTTCGATCGCGATGCATTGTCATTCGCTAGCTTCACAATTAGTTCCTTCCCCTTCAGACTCGAGCCGTTGAGATTTTTGATTGCTTCTTCCGCTTCCTTGGCAGTTTCAAAGTCACAAAAGCAGTATGTGCTGGCAAATGCCCTCCTTGTTTCGATGCGTTCCACTTTCCCGTATTTCGACATCACCTCAGTCATCTCATCTTTTGTTACCAATGGATGGAGCCCGAAAATAACAACGGCATTAGTCGAAAGTGCCTCGTGCCGTACTTGGGCTTCCTGACTTGATTTTTCTGCGTCTTGCTTCTTCTTCGTGGCGTCCTTTTCTGATTCTTTGTCTTCAAGGTTGGATTTCTCGGATGTTGATGTTGAAGTTGAATCTGGTTTTGCAGATTTGGATTCCACGGTGGATTCAACTCTGGCTTTTTTGGTCACTGGCGGCGAGGTTTCTGTTGCTTTTTCCTCTGACTTGGACTCCGCAATCTTTGCAGGACTTGTGCCCTGGCTATCGTTCTCAGGCTCTAGTTCGCGCTTTCCAACCATCGTGCTTGTATTGATTATAACTTGCCAGTTGTAGCAGCTGCTGTAATCGGACGGCAAGACGACACACTCGGGATTCAACACCAGGAGTGAGTCGCGCACAGCGATTTCTACCGATCCGCAACGAAGCGGATATGTGGTTCTTTCGGATACCACCCACAAATCGTTGTAGAATACATTATCAATACCACACTCCCTGCGTACTGGCTCACCAAAGAAGACTTCATCATGAGCCGCGACTCGTAAGAAACTCAATGTGTGGTACATGCCAGTTTCATCAGTGAAACGTATGAAATCTAATTGTCCTTCTCTCCGAAAATTACAGAAACTATGATCATCATATTTCGATTTTTTCGCCTCAAGGGCGTCTTTATCAAATGGAATACTGCTTCAAAAGCGCCAACTCTGGTTTGACTGGAGTAGCAGTCAGAGGAAAAGACTCGTGTTGCGTTGTGACACAGAAAAAGGTCCCCGATCGTTTGATGGAACCCAGCAGTGTGACACACCTATTTGCACTCACCAACAAGGTTGGATGCTGTGTCACCGGATCCATGGCTGACTCCAAGGCGATGGTTCAACGTGCACGGCACGAGGCTGGAAAATGGGCATACGACAATGGCTTCCCCATGCCCGTCGGTGTTCTTGCTCGGCGCATGGCTGATTTGGCTCAAGTAAACACACAGTCTGCGCACATGCGGCCCTTGGCTTGCATTGGATTATTCATTGGTGTGGATGACGAGAAGGGTCCACAAGTCTTTAAGGTTGATTGTGCTGGGCACTATTTGCCTTTCTTCGCGGCCGCATCGGGGCCAAAAGAACAAGAAGCCATGAACTACTTGGAAAAACGAGTAAAGGAAATGAAAGAGTATGACAACAATGAAGTTATAAGAACAGCCATCACTTGCTTGGGCCATGTTCTTGGTAGTGACTTTAGAGGATCAGAAATCGAGGTAGGCAGTATTGAAGGAACAGATGGGAAGTTCCATGTTTTGTCAGAAGAAGATATTGAAAATCATTTGAATGCCATTGCTGATGACGCAGACGCATAAGGTAGACTGCAGACTAAACTTTATTACGTAATGATATCACTCCAAGTTTTTTTTGGGCACCAAGCCACTGACGATCATAATTAACTCATTGCGGATAAAATACTGTAACTCCAAACCATCAGTTCGATCAAGTCGTACATTTGCAATGCTCTCACTCATCTCTCACACCTTCTGCATGTTTATGCGCTATCTCATTCGATAGATTGTACTCATAAAATAATATATGCGGACTCCCTTCAGCTGAACTTGTACGAACTTGGTACTGTCCGGTCGTACCGGTACCGGTACCCGGTATCATGAACGGCCGGGAAAATCAATATTTACTCCCAAGAATTGTATGCTAAATTTCTATTTCCCGGCCGTTCCATACACACACCCCAATTTGGGGTGTGTGAAATGGATGTTGTTTGTGCATACTTTAGCGTTTTTTGTTTTCAGCGTTTCTGGGTATTTCGATGGTAATCATTCGTTCGTTTCATCCTTCAGTGTAAAAAAAACAAGATCAAGAATAAGACAAAGGTGGAAACAATAATGGGTGATTGGCAAGCAACATCTCAATTCTGCGCAGTGTACTCCATCGTTGGTGCTCTTTTTATGGTAAGCAACTTTCAGCCGACGACAGATGCAACTCATTTCCCATTCACCATTAATTCAATATTATAGTTCATGGTAGCAATGATGCTCACATATCAACCTGAGTTGATAGCGGGATTCGACGACTATGAAGCCGCAACCAAGAATACGTATGGAGCGATGACATTCTTTTTCGTCACTTTTGTAACATCGATAGTTTACCTCATCAAAGAGTCGGTATTCGGCACCGACGATAGAACGAGGCAAAGTGGGATAGACTACGAAGGGGTAGGAAGCAGCGGTGGTTCCGCCATCATGGAAGAGTATGCTATGAATTTTGATTTGCCACCAAGCATACATGCAGGGTACTCTACATAGTTATTTTTACAAGAATTAGGTTCTTATTGTACACCCAAACACGTTGGCAAGAAGAGTCTTATGTCGAATCCATAGATAAATGAAGAATTGCAGGGCACCCGTATCTATCATTGAATCAGTTCGATTTGCCATTTTGGAGACATTTAGTCATCAAGGGGATCCTTGGTGTAAGCATACTACAATATGTACTAAACTGCCTTCGATTCGTATTTACAAAAGCTGCGCCAAGCAATTCAATTCTTCTTAGTGAATGCTTTCCATTACTCGCTATGTAACCGCAGTGGACCCTTCGAAGTTCTGGATCATGTTGTCACGATTCATCAAGAATGACATGGCCAGGATGAGCTTCATTTTTTCTCAGGATTCGAGATGGTCATCAATAAAATAGAATCCAATCAAATATCTAAGCGCTGAGCGAACACCAGGTATGCAAAAACACTTCTCTCCAAATGCTTGAACCGGTTTCGCAACTATTAGTAGTGCCAAGACTTTAGCTTTTGATTGTAGGTTCAGATCGAGTAACTTCATCTCATACAACCGGGCGGGAGCGGGATATCCATGAATTCGTCACTGTCAATTTATTTTTCCTGAATATTCGCCACCTTTATGGGTTGAGAAATTAGGATGCATTGTTGAGCTTCACAAACAACGTGTCTCCCGTTTTCCGCGCTTGAATAATGCATCATCAGGATTCAGAGTGTCGTCCTACTCACGTCCTGTTCTTTGTTTCAACCACAGAATCATCTGAAACTGATAGCAATCCTTTCCGAAACAGTGTTATTACAACAAAGGAAACAACTCTCGACTGCACCCATAGCACATGGCACCTTTTTGCTAGTAGTACAGTACCATCACATCAACTCAAAGCTGTAGCGTGTACAGCCTTGATTACTTGAGAATGCAGGCACAAGGTTGTCCAGGCTTGTCGTGCTTCAAGTACTGAATTAGTTGTAAAATGTCCGAAAATGTGTGATAAAACAGTATTCTGAAAATTATAGTGATTTTGTGTTGTGAAGGATGTAAACAGGATGAAACTCCGACCATCTCAACGCATGTAGTAGCGATGCTTAGTCTTAACAACATTGAGAATGTGGCGAAGCTTAGCGAGGGGGTATTGTAGTCAAGATTGGGAATCTTGATACCTGTATAAGATACTTTGGATACGTTAGCCGTTGGGGTGCAGACGTTCAGTAACGGCTATCATCTGATGGACAAACAGACGACTTTCGACTCTCCCTCTCATCCGAAAACTTCAACACAAAACGTCATCACTGGAATTTGCGAAACAAATAGATCTGTAAAGATGTTGCATCTCACTGGTGAGCAGGCGAGTTCAACAACCGGAGTTGTCTATGTCTCTTTGCTCGACGCAAATGTACAAGGGTTAGGGTGGTTGTGCAAAGGTGTTACCACCCCTGCACTCGAAAACGATTGCTTTCGAAAGGTTCACAAGACTGTGCCTTTGTGAAGTAATCAGCATCTTGGAGCGATGTGTCCACCTCGTGGATGGCAACAGTTTCTGGGCCAACGCCGTCCTTGGTGACGTGTTGCCAGAACCAGTGCCAC